GCTCATGTTTACATTTTCTTAAAGCAGAAAGCAAGGAATTATTTTAGGAATTCCCTTTCCATTTGCAAATCTGACACGACCTAGTGGGAACCAGCGGGCTCTGTGCCTGCCAGTCGTGTGCGGCCACCTCAAGGGAGCGGGGCGTGCCCAGCGGCACCCCGAATCCCCGGGCCTCCCCCGGAGTGCGCCAGGATTCGTTCCATGTCAAAATGCCCTCAGAGAAAACCGCATCCTTCAACGTTTAGATAAACAAATCTTTTCTTAGTAAATTTTATTTATTAAAAATTACAACAGGCCAGGTGCAGTGGCTCATGCCCATTATCCTAGCAGTTTGGGGGCTGAAGCAGGGTTGCTTGAGCCCACGAGTTTGAGACCAGCCTGGGCAACATGGCAGGACCTATCACTACAAAAAATGTTCGAAAATTAAAATGGCAATAGTATTGCTTTTTTTCAATTCTTATGATGAGTGAAACCTTTAGGCTGTGACCCTTGAATTTAGTGGGAGAAGTTCCTGCTGTCTGATGTTGGGTATTCTGAGCAGTGATCACAAAATTGAGTCCTATGAGGCAAGCCTACAGTGCACAGGGTCAGCGCCACTAGGGCTGAGTGGGGGCCTGGGGCAGGCTGGGGGAGCAGCGGCCAAAGCTGACGTGTTCTCCGTGAGTGGGGGGCCCAGGGCAGGCTGGGGGAGCAGCGGCCGAAGCTGACGTGTTCTCCGTGAGTGGGGGGCCTGGGACAGGCTGGGGGAGCAGTGACTGACGCTCATGTGTCCCTATGAGGGATGGGTCTGAGGCTGCGATGCTGCCCTGTCTTGGGAGGGAGGTCATGGGAGTCATCCCCAAGGATGAGAGGGCCTGGAGCCCACCCTCCCCGTGCCCTGGCCTGTGAGGCCTCCTGGGGTATACAGGAGTTGGCTGTCGGGGAAGCACCTGGGGAGTGGACTCCCAGAGGCAGTGCAAGAGTGGCAGAGGCAGTCCGGGGGCCAGGTGTCTCTGGATCCACCCCCGTGTCCCCACCCACTTGCTGAAGCACGCAGCATGGGCCACATGGGGTTTGGGGTGTGCACCTGTGTGGCGCTGTAAGGGCGGCGCCTGCGCTCCCAGCCAAAGGAAGGCCGTCTTCTGCGCATCGGCTCTGCTGGGTGTTCAGGTGTACTTCATGCATTTTAATTGAGTCTTTCTAGCAGGTGGTAACTGCAGGGACTCACGCGGAGCGTTGGCTCCTTAGCGTTAATGTTTTCCTCCTGAGAGCCCTCGTGAGCCCGAGCCCGAGCCCGAGTTTCGTGTTGTGTCTGGCCCTGCAGGGGCTCAGCGCGTCACTTGGACTGTTGCGCAGAAATTCAGACGACGGCTCGTGGCTTTGGCGATGCTCTCCCTCCTTTCCCAGCAGCCACGCGGCTTTGCAGCGTCCTCCCTTCCCCGACGGTGGAGGACACGGAGCAGCCAGTGACTGAGGTATGACGCCAGGTGCTGGGCCGCAGAACCGCCGCACCGAAGGCCCTGGAAGGTCCGGCCTCCTGATCTGAGGCCTCTGGGGAGGCTCTTTCCTCTGGCCGCCTTTGGGACGCCTGTGAGAACTCACTTTGCACGTGTGCTTCCGTGCTCACCTCAGTAACGTTGTCTTTAGTTTGCAAAATGGGCTTTGGTGGGGATCAGGCAGCTCTAGGGGCTGTCACTGGGTACATGTGTTTTTAGAATTAATTAAAGCTAAATGAATTAAAAAGCTCGTCCTTGGTTGCCTCAGCTGTACCCCACATGCTCTGTGGCCGCATGTAGCTGTGGCTTTCCCACTGGGCGGTCCCAGACCCCCCCCCTTTTTTTCTTTGAGACAGAGTCTCACTTTGTGGCCCAGACTGGAGTGCAGCGGTGCAATCTCAGCTCTTTGACCTCCCGGCTCGGGCGATCCTCCCTCCTCAGCCTCCTGCGTAGCTGGGACTACAGGCACGCCACCATAGCTGGATAATTTTTAAACGTTTTGTCGGGACGGGGTCCCACTGTGCTGCCAGACTGGTCTTTGGGTTTCTGTTGGCATCTCTCTGATGCTCTGTCCTGGGCTCTCTGCCCCAGGGCCCCGTGCCCCCGGCCACAGGCGGATGCGACTGCTGGGCAGGATGAAGCTGCGATCGTGGGGGCCGTGCTTTCCGGGACGCAGGAAAACCACAGTATTTGTTAAACCCCGTTCTGCCGTCTGTGTTTCTGCTGGAGTTCAGATAGGGCTGATCTTTGAGGGCCGCTGAGTGTGTCGCATCCACTTCAAAGAAGGAGCCTACCCGTCATGAATTCTGAAGCCCCAAGTGCCTGCTTCCTGCCTCCCTGCAGGGAGTGCACCGTTTGATATCCAGCGAGCCTGGATCCCGGAGGCTCTGAGCCTCCAGCTGCCCTGCCAGCTGCCCTTGCGCGTTGGAAAGGAGGCAGGAACCCAGAGGACCTGCCACGGCGGGCACTGGGGGTCCACAGGGCAGCCTGCTTTCCCTCCTCCGGGCCAGGCTGCCTTTGCCTGCACCCTCCCGGCAGCACACAGTCCCCCAAGTGTGGGCCCTATCTCCCAGTGTGGCCCTGTTTCCTGAGTGTGGTTCTCATGTCCCCAGCATGGTCCCCATCCCCCATGGGGCACCAGGCGGAGTACCTGGTCCTGTAAGGAGAGCAGGCTCTGGGAAGGGGCTCCCGTCTGCAGAGTTTGGTGAGGTTTAAAGGGACTGAGACCAGGGCCGGGCCCCAGTGCTTCTGGAGAGGCTGCTTTCTGGCCCCTCCCAGGCCTGGGGGGAGATGGCCGAACTTCAGGAGTGGGCGCAGGATGAGACAGCAGCATGACCCCACTGCCACTGGGACGTGACCAGGGAAAGGAGAGACTTGCGGTGAGGAGCCCTGGAACCAGGGGCAGCCCTGTGTGAGGAGGGGCAGAGGCCACGGGGGCGGGGCGGGGCTTCTCCCGGCTCAGCTCGCAGGCCAGTTTGCGGGGTCCTTGCACAGAGTCCCAGAGGAAGACTGACAGGTTCCCAAGGCCTTTGGAGTGCTTCAGGCCCCCAAAAGCATTTCGTAATTTTTTGTGATTTTAGCCTGATGAACCTGGATGTGTGTGGGTATCTACCTCCAGGCAATCCCACCCCCACCTTGCACCCCTGGGCCCCCATGGGGGCGTCGGAATGGGCTCATGCAGGGGACCAGGCTGTTGATGGTGACTGCCTGCGGGGAGGGCTGGACGCCTTTGCCCCCCTGCTCCCTCAGAGCAGCAAAGTGAGGGTGGCAACTGGGGGCATGCAGAGGAGTGAGGGTCCTGGTGCCTAGGGAAGGGTTCTGGAAGGCTCCACGCTCCTGGGATATTCCTTTGTAGGAAGTGGGTTCTGTATCTTACCGCCATCCCATCCAGGTGAGAGCTGGACAGGTCAGTGCTGAGGTAACTTGGGATCCTTGGAGTAAGAAGCTTCCTTGAGCAATGGTCAGTTTATCCTTATCTTGCATTGAGGAATGACTGGTTTATTCTCCTCTCCCATTGATGAATGATTGGTTCACCTTCATCTTCTATTGATTAATGATTGGGTTTTTCTCATTTTTTCTATTAAGGAATGATTGATCCTTGTCATCTATTGGTAAATGAGGGTTTTCCTCATATTTCCCATTAAGGAATGATTGGTTCATCCTCATCTTCCATTGATGAATGACTGGCTTATCCTCGTCTTCTGGAAGGCCAATGCCATCTGGTCTGGGGCCTTCCCCCGGGCGGGGCCAGGTGTCAGTACCAACGCACAGGTGGCATTGGGCGTCGTTGGGATTGCACTGTGGTTAAGCTGAAAACACTTGGAGCTCGTAGGGGGATGTCCACGTGGCACGTGTGAGGGCAGCAGGAGCTCCTTGGGAGCCTTGGAGGCTGGGCGGCAGGCTGTCCCAGTCCATGCCTGTGCAGGCGGTGGCCTGGGTTTCATTGCAGGTTTGTCTACATTTGGAGGCTTTCCCAGCCTCCACAGGGAGGACTCTGGGAGAGGAAGGGCAGCAAATGGGGCCCAGGGGAGCAGCCGGCAACCTGGCCATGCATGAGCTGTGGGCTCCCTGGGGTCTTGTGTGCAGCCAGCACAGTGAAGGAGAAGGGGACCAGGCCCCTCAGGGTTTGGCTCTGCTCTTCCCCACCTCTCAGGCCTGCTTTTGAGGCTGTCCCCACGAGAGCTGAGTGCCACTGGGTATTTGCGGGCCCCAGATGCTGGGCTCCCGTGATTTCCATTGCAGGAGCACCTCCTGCCAGCTGTTCGACCCTTTACCCTTGCTGCTCTTAAATTCAAACTTTAAAAACAGCTTAATGAGGGGTTTACTGGCCCAACTGGAAGTTTTTATTAAGCCCTGTTAGTGCTGGAGCAGAGCCTGCCTGCAGGAAGCGGATGTGGGGTGAGCCCTGAGCCGCCCGGGCTGCACCAGGGTCCACCGGCACCTCCCATCCCTGGCCTACAGAGCCCTCCTGCCCCTGCTTTGGTGACCGCTCTTCCCTCCCTTTCCAGCTCCCAGGGTCAGGAATGCAGTTTCTTTTGATTAAATTATTCGCTAATCAGAGGCAGTCTTGATGACCTGCTGAGAGCTCACCCAGCTGCTAGGCTGCAACAGGCAGGCTGAGCTGGCTCCTCTCTGGGTCCTTTCTCTCACGCTCCTGAGTTATCACACCACCCCTCCCTGGGGAAGAAGCGTCCTGGGGATTTCAGTTCTGGAGGGTTCCCTCAGACCAGGAAGCAGAGCCCTTCCCTGTCACCTGGGGCTGGAGTGACTGTGGTCCCGGGAGGCAGAGCCCCTCCCCATCACCTGGAGTGACTGTGGTCCCGGGAGGCAGAGCCTCTCCCCGTCACCTGGAGTGACTGTGGTCCCGGGAGGCAGAGCCTTTCCCCGTCACCTGGAGGACTGTTGTCCCGGGAGGCAGAGCCCTTCCCTGTCACCTGGAATGACTGTGGTCCCGGGAGGCAGAGCCCCTCCCCGTCACCTGGAGTGACTGTGGTCCCGGGAGGCAGAGCCCTTCC